AATTCCATCTACTAGCCAGTGCAAACTGGCAACTACCCGGAGGAGAGCCTTCTCGGTGGCTGCTCCGACCCTCTGGAACGAACTCGGGCGGCATACAAATAAAGGAAATAAATAATAATAATAATAAAAGCTCCACCTTTAGGTTAGTGTTAGGTAGGGGGACATCTGCACTTAGCCATTTAGTACTTATCTTGGGATTTTTCTCCTTCAATGTTAAGTTTCCTCCAAGCTGGCTGGAGGAATAGTCTCATTTTAGCTACCCATTTATTTGCACGGCAAAATAAGAGGAGGAAGTTCTGTTGGATATGTTGTTCACCGCCTTTATTTGTAAAAAAATAATCCAAATGGGATGCAAATAAATAAATAAGGTTTCTCCTTACATTTGATGCCCAGAACAATAACCTTGTGAGGTAGGCTGAGCTAAGAAGCCATTTGTCTGCACTTGTCGGTTTGTTTCTCACATTTTTAAACCCTGCAGGAATCTATGTATGAAAGATACACTAGCAATAACCAGGGCTGTGGTTAAATGTAACCTCAGGCTGAATCAACAACGCTGCTCATGTATGAAGAAAGTTGGAAATAATAATAATTTATTAAACTTCAGGTGGTCCTCAATTTACAACTGCCGTTGAGCTAACAACATTTCTGTTGTTAAGGGTTATGCCCCATGTTGTGATCTTCTTTGCCACGATTGTTAAGCAGATCGCTGCAGCCATTAAATGAATCATGCAATCATTAAGCGAACTTGGCTTCCCCCACCGACTTTGCTTCTGGAAAGATGGTTGGGAATAGCAATCACATGACCTGGGGCAGCGCAACTGTCCTAAGTACATGCCAGTTGCCAAGCACCTGAATTTCGATCACGTGACGGTGGGAAAGCTGCAACAGTCATAAGTGTGAAAATCAGTTGGGAATCATTTTTTTGTTGAGATTATAACTTTGAACGGTCGCTAAATGAATGGTTATAAGTCAAGGACTGTCTATGCTATCTGATATAATGACTCTTTAATTTGTCTTTTTTTTTTTTGTCTCTGCTGAATTTTTCTCCCAAGGAAAAGCTTTCTTGAATCTCTTCCTGCATTTAAGGACTCCCCGAAGGGATCCGATGGCTGATTTCCTTCGAATGATCCTTTTCTCCTCTTTGCTTTTCAGATAGCAGCCCAGGAGTTATTGGACAATCGGGTGATCACGCTCAGCATGGCCGGCAGGAAGTTGGACAAGAAGGTCTGTGTTCGAATCCCCTGTCCTCATCGATGCCCTGCATGCAGTAGCAATTGACTGGAGAGAGAGAGAGAATTAGAGAGAGAGAAAGAGAGACACAGAAAGAGAGAGAGAAAGAAAAGAGAGAGAAAGAGAGGATAAAAGAGAGACAGAAAGAGAGAGAGAGAGAGAGAGACTGACAAGGACAGAGAAAAACAGAGAGAATAAAAGAGAGTGAGAGAGCAAAAGAGAGAGAATTAGAGAGAATTAAAGAGAGAAAGAGAGACACAGAGAGGAGAGAGAGAGAAAGAGAAAGGCAGAGAGAGGGAGAGTAAAAGAGAGGGAGAATAAAAGGGAGAGAGAGAGAGACAGAGAAAGAGAGAAAGAAAGAGAGAAAGAGAGAGGAGAGAGAGTGAGAGAAGGGGAGGGAGAGACCATAGGGGAAATTACACTTGGTTATTTAAATCAGCCAAGTGGCGTTTTCACATGGCAGGTCAATTACTAGTTCTCAAAAGTTTCTATTAAAAATTATCCTGTTTCGCTTTTGACAGCTCTCCTGCTCTGTTAGACCTTTCAAGTCGGAGGAAGAGTCATGCCCTAAAAATTAATTACTTAGCACTTTGTCCCCAGTGATGCCACTTAGCATAAGTACACGGAATCGGGATTACAGACTAGACTGAAGCAGACCCAAGAGGGCAGTGAATAGCTTTCCAGCGTAAATCCAGAAGTCTCTGATAAATTGTTGGCATTTATCATAGGGAGAACGAATTAATCCTTAAAAAAATTTTTTTTGTCATCTTATCTCACATGCTTATTATTAACTCTGCAAATCCAGTTGTTTTCTCATACCGCATTGGTTCTTAAACTGGGGGTAATTACTTTTGGCAAGTCCAGGGGGTAGCGGAACAATTGCTAATTGTTGGTTTGCAAATTGAGGGCCCCTTTGGGACTTCTGCTGTTGAGATCCTTGTGTAAAATAAGAGTGGTGTTCCTGTGGGAGTAACAACATTACAGGTAATCCTTGACTTCTTGTCACAAGTGGACTGAAATTTTGATTGTAGCTCAATGCTCCACTTAGTCTAGAAGAACACCTGACGGCCGTCACCAGGGGGTCCTTTTACCAGGTTCGCCTGGTATGTCAGTTGCGCCCCTTCCTGGATCGGATTGCTCTGTGCACAGTCACTCATGCCC